CTCTGGGCTTTGGTACAGTTGCAACCACTAAGTAGATGATCCTCCGTGCCATAAACAGAGATTTAGCTAAAATATTTTATTTTTCTGTGGTAGTATTTTGGGGCTTCATCATATTGTGACTATTATTGTAGTCATATCCCTCAGCCAGTTAATGGCAGGAATGAAGGGGCCAGCTTAGAAAATATTCCGTTTCTTTTTAAGGAGGTATGCAGAGTCTTGCTCCCAACTATGTCTCTGGCCTTGTGGTGATGTCTGAGGCTCTTTGGCCACGAGCTGTGCATGTGCCTTCCATGACCTGTGAGTTGAGTGGGCAGGGACACGCTGATTTTGAGAATACAGTGATTTGCCTTCTAAATATGTTCTGTGTCCAACATAGATGGGAGTTACATGAATATGTGTACATACGATGCTTTTGATCTTTAATGCTATTAAAGAGATTCAGATAATTTTTATATACTTCTGCATTAGGATGAGTAGTTCTTGGCAACAATTCTTCGCCATGACTGATTTGGTTAAATCCTTCACTCATGTAGGCCTTTTCTTCTCTTGGAAGCGTGGTTTCTACAGATGCCAGATCAAGGCCTCACATTCATGTGAACTATGAAAAGGGTGTGTGAGCTCTGTCCTGCTGCTGTGTTCAGAAAACATCCAGTAACCATGTGTCTTTCTGGCCTTGAAAACTGATTTCTTACTAAGTTGGTAGGCCTGTGTGCCTACCAAGTGGTTCCCAATGTGTTTTTCAGTATACCACTTTAGGAAACTTCTTTAGCTTTCAAATTCATATAATTTAAATTTATTTAAACATATGTACTTCCCATGCAGCACTCTGGGGAGGTCGTAGCTCCAGATAGGTTTTAGGACATGTCATTAGATTTCAGAAGGGTAAGAGAATAATTAGAATACTTTGTATAAATAATTAAAAACTATGCCTAAAATATTTTAAATTTATTAACTTAAAAAATAAAACCACATGCACTGAAAGCTAGTAATTGAAAAGGTACTTTATAAATTAAGTATGTTTTACCATATACTGTAAGAGATGAAAAGTGATTTTGAGTCTCTTTGAGACTTTGGTAAACCGATAACACCTATGTGATTTATCTGAAGTAGTTCATTAGAAATCAGCTGTGTATATGTGATGCCAACAAAATAACCGCATTTAGGAGGTTTTCAGTTCCCATAGCATTAGTAAAACCTAAGCAGAAAAAGATCACTGTTTTCCTGTTTAAGGAATGTGTTAAGGTAGGGGTGTCGAACTCAATCAGAGAAGGGGCCAAAATCTAAAATCCTGCCTAGATCGCGGGCCGAATGGTTTACTGAACAGTCATAAACTGTCATTGTGATGGAAACGCAGCGGAGTGCAATGATGACAGCAAAGTGCGGGCCACATTGCAAGGCCTGGCGGGACGGATTTGGCCCGCGGGCCTTGTGTTTGACACACGTGTGTTAAGGAGTCAGGTGATTATATTGGGTCCAGCTGTTCTGAAGGAGTACAATGTTGGGTGACTTCCAGAATATTCTTTGGAGATAGGAGTGTTCTAGGACAGCCACTGGCTGGCAACCACTGTTCTAGGAAACTGTTGTATGTGTGCCTCTGGGATGTGCCTTGGATATTCAAGAAGCAGCCCGGGAAAATGGTACTCTGTGAACAACCTGGGACCAATACTTCATTCTCAAAAATGAAGTGACTCTAACAGGGGCATCAGTGATCTGAAATATGGTCTGAGGGTATGGTACCTGTCACAGTGTTCTTTAAGGCACCGTTTTCAAGACTGTCTTTCTTGGAAGTCCCCAACAGATCAGTAGTGGCTGGTATCTAAGAGGAGAGGCCAACAGGATACTCCCAAGTTCCCAGTGCTCACCATTTCCACTGTGGTGAGACCTCTTAGCTTGAGCTCTGCTTGAACTCTTCATGTATCAGGGGCATCTTCACATACCTGCATCTTTGGCTTCCAACGGGATAGAGTGAAATGGGACTAAAGAGCTGCTGTGAGCCCTGTTCAGCTCTGCAGGTTGTGATACTGCTCTATACGTTAGGAATTCCAGGTGAATAGCTACTCAGAAAACAGTATTGGCTAATTATTGAACTTTTTATTATTCAAACTCTACCTGCTTTCTAATAGGTGATCTATCTACTGTTTCCTAGGGACATTCCAGCTATATCACACACCTTGACTGGTCCCCAGACAACAAGTATATAATGTCTAACTCGGGAGACTATGAAATATTGTACTGTAAGTATGAGTGATCGTGTGCTGAGAGTGTCTGCCAGGGGCGCTGATGAGCGGGCTGTGTGCTGTCTGAATTGTGTGGAGCATATGTGCTGGCCTCTCTAGCCCGACAGCATACGTTACTCTGAGCCAAGGAATGAGAATCTCAAATGTGCTTCACTTCTCCAAAAAAGGAATGAGTTCATTTAAATGTGCAGACGTGTCATAAGAAATCGACTCAGCGAGATTGATGCTGCTCTGAATGGTTTTGTATTTACTCTTTCTGGAGATAGGAAAAAGTGTTTTAAAGTAAACTCATTTTTTTCCTTTTTAAATGTGCCTTAATGTTTTTCCAAGTAAACGTGGCTAGTTTGAATCATATACATTTATATACAAACACTGATTATACTTCCTGTTTCTAAATTTAAAGGGAACATTCCAGGTGGCTGCAAACTAATCAGGAATCGATCAGAGTGTAAGGACATCGATTGGACAACATACACCTGTGTATTAGGCTTTCACGTCTTTGGTAAGGACGTGATACCTGGTGGGGAAAGGTTGTGGGGTTTTATAGATAATTATTTGCCTGAATTCTTAAATGAAATAGTCTATATGTGTTCTTTCATGTTATCACTATCAATGCCAGATTCAGAGAAATTAAACTGATACAACGTGTGTTCTCTGCAGAACCCAGACTTTTAGCCCTTGATATTAATAAATAAGAGAAAGGAATTTTACATAATAGCACAGATTGCCTGTCCATTTTTTTTTCTCTAAGTGAAAATTGAAACTTAAATTTGTAAAGGCATTTTTATAACAGCTTTATTGAGGTATCATTCACATACTACACAGTGCACCTAAAGTACACAGTTCAGTGGTTTTAGTATATTCACAGTTGTGCTTCATTCATCACTAATTTCAGAACATTTTCATCACTCCAAAAATAAACCCTTCACCCATTCGTAGTCACTCCCACCTCCACCCCATAGCGGCCACTAAAACCTATACTTCCTCTAATGATTGGTCTATTCTGGATAGCACTTATAAAAGGAGTCATGTAATATATGAGCATTGAGACTGGCTTTTTTTTCATTTAGCATATTTCAAGTTTTATACCTGCTGTAGCATGGATCAGTACTTTGTTTCATGGGCTGAATAATAGCTGTTGTATGGATATACCACATTTTGTTTTTCCATTTATCAGTTGGACACTTGAGTTGTTTCCACTTTTCAGCTCTTATAAATATCTAGAGACCCCAGTGCATGAAGATTCAGCAGGCCTGCCCCCTCTCACAGGCCGGGAGCCCTCAGGGACAGGTGACCATTCCTAGAAATCTATCCTGAGAGTTTTCTAAGCCTTTCCCAGTCGGTAGGCATCCTTCTGAAAAAGAGGATAAATGGAAAAGTTAAAATAATAAAGCCGTGTTTGCAAAGAATTAAAAATAAGTGTTATACACAGAAAATACAATAAAAAGGATGTAGCACAAATACTAAATACCCAAATATTAATACTTTTCCTTTTAACAGTCTATCTCTGCCTTCTGAAAACGGCTCTCACATCCAGCATAAATATAGATCTGAACACTTCTTTATGCTATGTACATTGGAAAAATAATCCATTGTCGGTGCTTTGTTCTACAAGACAACTACGGTAGAGATGGAGAAGCCTAGGCGAGGAAGAAATGAAAAAAACTAACCCTGACTATTCCATAAACAATTTCATTATTCTGGATGAAACTAAGACAGTGGCCAGTAACTAATAACTTACCTAGTTATTTTAATGAAGCAATATGTAATACTTATTATTCAGAAGTGTTTCAATTTATTTTACCAAATGTATCAAACATAATTGTTCTCTAAAGTGGCATTGAACCACAGGAGGCTAGCACTTCAACCCTATATATTCCATAGTTTTAATCTGATAGAATTTTGTGCTATGTTGAACATAATCACCAGTGCCTGGTAAAGATTAAAAGTAAGTATGTTTATCTTTGGACATAAATAATAGTTACCAGAAATTTCTATGGGCTATCAGGTAGACTAGATTCTCTGTGAGGTTTTCTTTAAAGGGTCTCTCTGTGAAAGAGGATGTAAATCTTACACAGCTTACCCAGAGTCCACTTTGAAGGATTAGTGAGTGCCACAGCTTTGTTTCTGCACCTTGCTATCTGAGTCACTGAGAACTTCCTGAAGTATTGTAGAAACCTAAAAAGGAAGAGCTTATTGGTGAGTTAAGCTTTACTTTAGCACCACCTGCTGGTTAAGAGTGAGTACTTTTGTATCATTAAATCTTCCATCTAAAGGCTATTTGGACTTACAATTTTACTAGAGGCCCAATGCATGAAGATTCTGGCAGGAGTAGGCCTTCCTTCCCCTGGATGCCGGCATTGGCTCCCTCTGGCACCCAGGACCCGGGCCTTGGCTCAGGCCCTGCGCCCTCCTATAGCTCCCTCCACCCCCTATAGCAGGTGCCCCGCCCTACCCCAGCCTCTCAGTGATAGCCATCTTTGTCGCATCAATTTGCATATTCCCTCCTTGTTGTTGTGGGCTCTGCCATCTTTATTGTGGAGTGATGGTCAATTTGCATATTACTCTTTTATTTATTGGGTAAAACATTTGAATAAAGTGTGAGCCACTAAGAAACTATAAGGGGAAAATGTTAGCAGCTAAGAGTTTGAACACAGATGAAAATTAGTAACGTCCTAAAATTAAATGAACCTATGTAGCATCACAGTTATCAGTTACATTTTTCAGGCTAATTCTTCTGCACCCCTATGTTCCCATATCAAAGGTGTCTGGCCAGAAGGATCTGATGGGACAGATATCAATGCACTGGTGCGATCCCACAATAGGAAGGTGATAGCTGTTGCTGATGACTTTTGCAAAGTCCATCTGTTTCAATATCCCTGCTCCAAAGCAAAGGTAAAATTAATTTAATAAAAACTAGCATTACAGCGCCTTTTGTTTGAGGATAATTTTGTGTCAGTGGCACAAAAATACCTGTATGGTTACTAATCACTGTCCATGATCCTGGGAGGCACGGGGGGGGGAGAACAGGGCCAGCCATCTGCGAGTGTCCAGGCCTTACTTGTCTTCTCTTTCCTCAGTAAGGACAAGAAGTTAATTACAGAAGGCAGCTGATGACGGTTCATTCATTTTTGTTTATTGTGCATTCGTTTACATTTTGGCAGTTTTAAATTTCTCCTGAACATATTTTGTTACATTTGTGATCAGCATTAATAAAACTCATGAGAATTATTTCCTAAATCACCTATAATCCTGCCAACCTAGTAAATTCTTCTCTGGCCATCCAATAGAATAGTTACTAAGTATACTAACTTTTTCCTTATATCCCCACAAATGCCAAACATTTAAAAATGTTCAGGCCAGTAAAGGAATTCTTGGAGGATTCAACCCAAAAGAGATGGGCTCTTATTTTTTTAACTATACAGTCTGAAGTATACATGTCTAATTGTTATGCTTTATTTCTGCTAAACAAACAGGTATTAAAGGGAAATTGCTGCTAGCTTTATTCCTCAGATTGAATGACTTGTAGCTTTGATTTCCTGTTGACTTCCCTCTTTACCTTGTCACCTCCATTGCTGTAAGCAGACATGTAAGGACGAGTTTAATTTTCCTGTCTGGTTTATTTCATATAGGCTCCCAGTCACAAGTACAGTGCCCACAGCAGCCATGTCACCAATGTCAGTTTCACTCATAATGACAGTCACCTGATTTCAACTGGTGGAAAAGACATGAGCATCATTCAGTGGAAACTTGTGGAAAAATTGTCTGTGCCTCAAAACGAGATTGTAGTGGACACTGCTTTAACCAAAGCCCCCATCTCTTGCATTGAAAGTGTCACGCAATCTGATACTCCCGCACCGCTTCCTTCCCAGCACTTAAGTGAGACAGCTGAAGAAGCAAGTAGAATAAGCAATTCTCCCACACTTCTGGAGAACAGTCTGGAACAGATTGTGGAGCCCAGTGAAGACCACAGTGAGGAGCAGAGCGAAGGGGGCAGTGAAGACCTCGGGGAGCCTGTTGACGAAGAGCCATCCAATGAGATGAGCCAGGAGCAGAGGGAAGCCCCTCTTCCTAAGGACCAGCAAGACCCTCTGCTTCTCTCCTAACTCCAGGGCTTGAGTGTATGTGATATTGAGCTAGAGTTCAGATAACAGGACAGGAAGTGATGGAGGATCGCTATTGACCAAGTTTTTTGGTTTCCATGTGCTTAGTTTTCTTCAGTAGTATCATCTTCAATCAAATGGAACTGACCCAACGGTTCATTTTGGTGTGCGTTGAAGATGAACCAAACATAGTAGAAAAGAGTGAAATGTTATGTCTCAGAAATTACCGTGTGTGAAATTAAGTGGTGTGATGTAAATACTGGAAGCAAGACAGCAGTTGTATTGATTTAAAACAAACCCCTTGTTATCTGAACATGTTTTCTTCAGGAACAACCAGAGGCATCACAAATACTGTTACTCATCTACTGGCTCAAACTGCTACTTTTCTCCTGGTGCAGAAAAATAAATCAGAAAAGAAAAAGAAGAAAAAAAAAGCTCCCTTACAGAGATATCCTCCTACCCCAAAGGTGTAGTGGAAATTTTTCAGTTAAGAAAAACTCAGTATTGCCACCGGCAGTGGAGTTGCCTTCTTGAATAATAATGTCATTTCCTACACTACGGTAGATAGCCAGGTCTGCTTGTTAGTCTACTATATAGGTGCTGCCTTTTCTAATTTCTTGTGTGCGAATCTATTTTATTTTAGAACTAAGAAAGCAGTAGTTTGTTACAGAGCTTTTAATGTATATTAAACCATTGATATGCAGAAATAATGGATTCCTCCAAGGATTCCTTTACTGGCCTGAACATTTTTAAATGTTTGGCCTTTGTAGGGATGTAAGGAAAGGGAAACCACATGCCTATAAAATTAAATTGTAATTACTAGGATAATTTTAGTTTAGACTTCAACATAATTTGTTCCCTCAATAATAGCAGAAATATAAATACAGTACGTTTAAATAATTGGTGCTTGAAGTTTATTGGCTTAGCTATAATTTTTACACAGATTAATTATATTGAGGGATAAGATACGCAGCAAATTGCAAATTCTTTTTTACAGAAGTGTGAATAACAGTCATAATTCTTTTTATAAATTGCATACTTAACAGATTTGCTATATATGGTCATTTTTCTCCGGTGGAAGTTGCTATAATATAAGCCTTGCAATTCTAATGTGGTTATCCTCTGCTAGTTTAAGCAATGCATGTATTATTATGCATTGGGTAGTAGTTTTTGTTTTAAGTTTTGTCAGATGACTTTGTTTTTCTTAAGTACGTGTTTCCCTACTTTAAAAATAATTACTGACAAATATTCATTTCCTATATGTTTGTTTATACTTGGATTATAAAAAAAAAAAACTGTTTTATTTTTTAACTTGCTGCAAGTTTTGATACCTTTTTTTTGTTGTTAGAATATGTTTAGAAACTTTGGATGAGTTCAGAAGTCTTAAGTATGCAAGTGTTTACGTGATTGTGCCATTCCAAAGTGCATCAGAACTGTCATTCCCTTCTAGTATCTTCTCAGGAGTAACACAAATCAGGTATTTCATCATCATTTGGTAACACACAAACTCCAGCGAAACTCCCAAGGACACTCACAACATTTATATTCACAGGCTGTTTGTAAGGGTGTGGGTATGTGTGAAGGGGTAAGTATAGACACTTACTCTGTGTTTGTGTGTATCTCTATATAAGTAGACATACACTGCATTGAAAATATTCAATGTATATCTCTAGGTGTATAGATATATGTTCGTGTGTATCTCTTTCCTTTTGTTTACAACTGTTCAAAAAAAAACCTCAAAGTAGCTCTCTTCCACAGAAGAGAGGTAGATTCCAAGCAGCCCCTTTTTTTTTTTCAGTGTGTTCTGTACATAATTATCAGAGAGAGCATCAGTATCAGGCACATATATTTGCCTATTAGCAGTGGTGACTAAATTATCAGGTCAGCATGTGCTGTCCCCTACAAGAAAAATACTATGAGATAAACAAGTAGGAAAGCATTTCTTCAAGCTCTCGATGACAACGAGGGGGTTTATGTGGGGACATCAGTCACCTTTGGGGTTGCTGTGTACAACGAAATTTATAATCGTGATACTCTTGGGTGGTAGTTTTAAGACACTACTAATACGCAGAAAGCGTTCCAGCTCTTGCTGGCAACTACTGTTTAACAGTCAATCAAATCTGTGATAATGGTTGGAAGTGGTGGGATTATGAAATTGTAGTTTTTAGAAAAACTTGTGAATGAAAATGAATCCAAGTGTTTCATGTGAAGATGTTGAGCCATTTCTATCATGCATTCCTGTCTCATGGCAGAAAATTTTGAAGATTAAAAAATAAAATAATCAAAATGTTTCATTTGTCTCTCTAAATGTACCTTAAACTCTCTTCACTTATATCGCTAGTTGCCATGACAGTCCCTTTATTAGAAAACATGACAATTATCAGTTGATCACGGTTGCTGTTATGGATACAACCATTCTGGCAATAAAAATCTCCCATCTCATAATATTAAAGGAAATTACTTATGATTTATGCTTCCACTTAATAAGGGGATAGCTTCATGTTAATTTATTTCATGTCTATACTTTCTCTAATGTTTAACACTGGGTAATCCTAGTGATCCTGATTCCGCTGCCTCCCAGTATTAGCCTTTGTGAAATCCTTGAACTCAGTAGGACCATGTATCCCTTGATTTCTCCATCTCTCCCATGTTGCTTAGTGACAAGGATCCCATGTACACAACCATAAATTGGCTGCTACATATTTTTTCTATTTGAAGAGTTAGAATGAGAGTATTCCATACATTCCCCAGCTTTATAATCAAGAAACGGTGGGGTATTCATCATTACCTTACCTCTGGTGACTGATACAGCCACGCACATATACAGGCCTATCTCGCTTCATTGCACTTTGAAAATGTTTTTTGTTTTCTTTGACAACCCTGCATCAAACATCTATCCGCACAATATGCCAATAGGTGCAGATGATGCTTAGCATTTTTTAAATATCACTTTTTAAAAAATATATATATATATTATTGATTTTTCACAGAGAGGAAGAGAAAGGGATAGAGTTAGAAACATCGATGAGAGAGAAACATCGATCAGCTGCCTCCTGCACATCCCCTACTGGAGATGTGCCCGCAACCAGGGTACATGCCCCTGACCGGAACCGAACCCGGGACCCTTCAGTCCGCAGGCCGATGCTCTACCACTGAGCCAAACCGGTTTCGGCAATATCATTTTTTTATGTACTGGGAAACCAAAAAATCCATGTGCCTGACTTTACTGCAGTGGTCTGGAACCAAACCTCCAGTACCTCCAAGGTGTGCCTGTCAGAACTAACCCATGAGAGGCTGTCCTGGGTGGGAATTCCTCTTTTACCAATTCTGAAACAGAATGCCTGAGGGACACCAGACAAGCCCTCTTAAACAGTGACTGAGGTGTTGGTAATATTTCTAGAAGAAATTAGGTTTCCAGCTTAAAGCTGGAACTAAAAGGAAGAGGAGTAAAGATAACATCTTATGACAGAAGACAGGCTGAAGAGCAGCCCCTGTGTGGCCAAGCCTGCCCCAAGCACCCTGGTTCATGTAGTGACGGGGGGGGGTGTTAGCTTCCCTGTAGGCAAGGAGGTGGTTGGGAAGATGTATCTGACCGTGTTCATCTAGCTAGATAAGGGCCATGCCAGGACTTCATGTTTTATAACTTTAAAGCTCACTCTTCTTTCACTTACACTGGGAGAGACATTCTTTAGAAACAGGTAGCAAGCAGAAAAGGATGATGGCACAGATTCACACATTTGGGGAAGATAAGTGAAACAGCAGAGGGTCCGTCAGTCTCAAGCCTCAGTCTAGGAGTGGATGAGGTCGCTGCATGTCTGTCACTGTCCCAGACACCAGGCCCTGCAGGAGAAGCCTCCTGTGACTCGGATGCCCAGGAATGTCTCCAAGGAGCATAGTAAGGTCATGGATGCAGCCCTGTGTAAGGGGCAGCTCCTGCTCCCTCAGGAGTCTCAGATAATGTACACCTTCTGTGCTCATCAGTTCACCTTTCCAAAGGAAACCTGAATTTCTACTCTGCCTGCATTAATAGACCCGTCCAATAACCTTAAATGCTCTGGTATAAAGAAGATAGATAAAGAGAGAAATCCCAAATGGATCGAAGAATGCCTGTCTCCTGGAAATGTGTCTGATTTCTGTACCTATGGGTGGCCTCCTTAGGAGACTCACTGAGCACATTATTGTTAGGTGTCTCTTTTTTTTTTTTTTACCAATCCAGAAGTCTGGCAGAAAATCTTTCTTTCTGCTGTATCTCAAAGGACAAAAACATAAAATGGGCAAAACCAAAAAGCCACCGAAGTACTCAATGTTTAAAATATAGTATATCCATATAACTAAACGCTATTCAATGATAATAGCTAACACTTAAGTGCTTTTTCGTGCAATCCCATTATCTCCATTTCACAGACAAGGAAACTTGTACAGAGAAGCCAGGTTACATTAAAAGCAAGTACCTGCACCAAGATTTGAAGCCAGGCCTGCTAGTGCACTAAAGATGTTTACTGTAAGACAATAAGCTAATGATGATTATTGCAGG